TACCCTCTCCTTTATTCCTTTTTGCTAAAATACAAGGGCGGGGGGGGGGGGGGGGGAATTACTGCATTGGAAGTGCTTGGTGCGTCTGTATTGTCTCACCCAAACAAGGTTTCACTCGTTGCAGGGACATCATCAAGATCTTATGTCCCTTGCATCACTCAGAACCCAAGGGGGAAATAATTAACATTAAATTGAAAATTAAGATACAAATGCCTAGCCACAAAAATAATATTAACTTGGACTTACGAGCAAATACATGGCAATTGATTAAAATATAGCAGTCTTCCAATATTTGAGGGGCTGCCACAGAGAGGAAGGGGTCAAGCTATTTTCTAAAGCACCTATAGGACAGACAAGGAACAATGGATGGAAACTGATCAAGGAGAGATTTAACCTGGAAATAAGAAACTTTCAGACAGTGGGAACAATCAACCAATGGAACAGAAATTGCCCTCAGAAGTTGTGGGAGCTTCATCACTTGAGACCTTCAAGAAGAGATTGGACTCCCATCTGTCAGAAATGGTGTAGGGTCTCCTGCTTAGGGGGGAGGTTGGACTAGATGACCTATAAGGTCCATTCCAACTCTGATTATCTGTTAAAAGGAAATAACACTGACTCACTCTAAGCCAGGAAGTAATTTCTAAAGTGCTTCTCCACCCCCCAAGAGATATGAGAAAGAGGAAAATTTTCTCCCTCCCGCTCATTTACCTCCTCTCTCATCCTGATCTTATCAAGATTAATTCCTGGGCGCAGCTACAGAAGCTCCAACCTAGAAGGAAAGATCTTGCCATTTTGCTTTTCGGATGCTCCTGAACTTCTCTTTTTGTGGTTTAACCGGAGTCAGCACTGTGGCAAAACAAAAACAAAAAAAACCCCACCAGGGCTATTTTTGTGCGGTGGGAGGCGGACGGAGAGTTGAACGAGGGCAGTCATGTGGCAAAATTAGTTCCTAAACCGCTTTCAAAAAATTAGGTCAGTTAAAAGATTTTGCCCTACAACCTTTTGACCTCCTGTTTACTTAATGCTAAGCCTCTCAAATGAATGGGAATGTGCATGGCATAATGCCTGTTTGTTGTTCAAAAAAAATGTTTTATCAGCACCGGGTTTGCCAACTGGTGCACATTTGAGAAAAGTCAGGATCGGCCTGGATGGCTGAAGCACTGCATCTGAAGGACATCTGCTGGGAGACTGGTGGACTTTCTGGTGCAGGTGGTACATCCTGGTGAGAACAGGCAGCTGGACCAGATGGGACCAGGGGGTCCGAGCCAGCTGTTTGCGTTCATGTGAACGTCATTTATTTTAGTGTGAGTTTTCAACATGGGAGAAGCAGTTGTCAGGTGTGAAAGACCAGGTTCACACAGGAAGTTTCAATACACTGGGTTTTTTTTGCTAAAAGCCTGTGTGCAGGAATCTTTTATTGGTAAAAGGCTACACGCAGGAATTTTCTCAACTAACAGTGGACACCTGCTTAGAGTTAGATAAGAGTCAATGGCACTTAAAAGGGGCTGGACTCCGTTCTCTTATAGCTACATAGGGATTCTAAGCTGATCCTCCTTTTCATCCCATTCCAGGTTCTGCCATCCCTTCTCCAACAGTAGCTTGAGATAATTTGAGCTCTGAGACACATGTATATGCTAAAGTCTAACAGCCTCTAATAGTCTTGAAACAAATGTCTATGGAGATACTTAGTCATCCAGGACATGATTGTCCCAAAGGTGCTTTATCAAAAAGCAACTGGACTTTTTTTTTCCCCTTGAAGATGTTTTGCTTCTCATCCAAGAAGCTTCTTCAGTTCTCTCATTCTTGAATGCGAAGTTAAATGTCTGCAAGGAAAAACGAAGTCCGGTTGCCTTTTGCAGGGGGGAAACAACTTTGGGGTTTGAAACAAATGCCATGGAGCTGGGGGAAGGTGCAGAAAAGAGGACAGGAAATTTGGATAATTCAGAGGAACCTCCTATAGATGAAGGCAGCTGGAGAGTTAGAAGTTCTGGCAAGAGCGAAGGCTGATCTTGCTTCTGAGCCCCCTCTCTCCACCAAGACTAGCTGACTGCTACCCAAAACAAACTTTGAATTAGATGGAATGAAGGGGGTTCAGCCAGCAAACAGTTAGGCGATGGCAATATACGGTCCTGGCAGGATCATTGGACAAGGAAAAAGCTGGGTTTGAATCCTTATGGTATTTTTTAACTGGCACGCCATTTTACCCCGATTACATTGCTTGGAGGATGAAATTCTTAAAAGTGGGGAGAAATAGCAATGACTGCAAGTTAATTTGGAGAGAGGAAGGGGAAGCCTAAGAAAGGAAAAAAGAAGACAGATAGAACAGAATAGAATAGAATAGAACAGAACAGAACAGAACAGAACAGAACAGAACAGAACAGAACAGAACAGAACAGAATAGAATAGAATAGAATAGAATAGAATAGAATAGAATAGAATAGAATTCTTTATTGGCCAAGTGTGATTGGACACACAAGGAATTTGTCTTGGTGCAAATGCTCTCAGTGTACATAAAAGAAAAGATACTGGGGAGATTCAGAAAACTGGTGAAAGCAAAGTGATCTGCGTTATCCTGGCTTTCTGGCCTTTAAAAAAATGATAATTAACACTAAACAGTTTTATTCTTATCTCCATAAATGCAATCTGAGGTTTGTAGGAGTGTGTATACATCAGGGATAGGGTGACTTTGGTGTGCATTCTTTCCCATGGGTGTAAAATGTACGTCTAATGCTATGTCCATACGGCCCCATAAACATCCTGTCTGTGTATAAAACGTTGTTTCTGGAATAAAGGGGCCCCACTGAAAAATGTTTTATTTCATTTCCTTATAAGATTTGGCATAGAAGGGTTTTTTTTTAGTAGAGGGAATAAGTATGGTTACAAGATGCTTCATCCATGTCTCAGATAAGATCTAGACTTTTTGCCCAGAGCCACAGAAATTATAAAGCTTTATTGATGCAATATGCGAAGCATAGAAGAGTCTCATATGAAATGGGGTCTTCTTAGCTAGAATATGGAAAAGATGAATGTTTTTTCACCTAGAATAGGGGTGTCAAACTCAAGGCCCGGGGGCTAGATCCAGTCTGCAGGGTGTTTAGATCTGGCCCGTGAAGCTGCCCTGGAAATAGCAAAGAACTGGTCCACGGTGCTTCTGCCAGTGAAAATGGAGCTCCATTTTCACTGGCAGAGGGTTGCAGGAGGCTGTCCCAGCCAAAAACAAATCTCGGGAGCCCGCTTTCACTGGCAGAGCCCTTGGGCCACCACATGCGCCCCCCTAACATGAATGACATGCTGCCCCCGCCCCCCCAAGGTCAATCACAACCCTGATGTGACCTTCAGTGAAACCGAGTTTGACATCCTGGCCTAGGTCAGGGGTCTCCAACCTTGGCAACTTTAAGACTTGTGGGCTTCGACTCCCAGAATGGCTGGCTGAGGAATTCTGAGAGTTGAAGCCCACAAGTCTTAAAGTTGCCAAGGTTGGAGACCCCTGACCTAGAGTATGGAGACGATTAAGTCCTCTTAGCTAGAATATGGAGAACGTGGGGGTCTTCTCAAGCAGAAAATGGAGAGGATGGGGTCTTCCCAGCTAGCCAGTGGAGAAGATTGGAGTCTTTTCAGATGAAGTATGGAGAGGTCTTCTCAGTTAGCAATTTACAATGCAGGAATCAAGTGGTGGAGGGTTACTTCTTTCAATTCCGGAAAAAAATCCCACTCGTTTTGTTTTTTGTTTTACTTTAATTTTATTGCCAACTGGCCAAGTATCTCAAGTTGCTACATATATTTATGTTGGATGTTTTTTTATTGTTTTAAAATGCTCTCAGTGTTTTAATTATGTTTCTGAATTGTAAGCTGCTGAGAATCATTGAGATGGGCAGCTATTAAAAATAATAATAATATTGGTTTGAGAAGATGTGGGGATATCAGCGGTTGGTAGGGAAGTGCAGTGATTCGAATCCAGAATTGAAGAGGTGCCACAAATACGGCTGCAACACCCATCAGCGCTTCCTCTGAGAAGCCGTGTCTTTTTTGGGAGCTCGTGTAGCATCCAGGAAAATATCCTTTTGAGTTATCCAGATATGCATCAAGCTGTTTCAGGGTGTGCTGTTGCTACCTCCTTAACTCAAATGTATAATTTTCCCGCAATCCTGCAGCAACAATGCAAGCCCAGGAAAACATGCACTTTTTAAAGGATGCGCCCACTGTTGCAAAGTAACTTTCTGGCTTCATCAGTGGTGGGATTCAAAAAAATTTACTACCGGTTCTGTGGCTTGGTTGGCGTGGCAGGGGAAGGATACTTAAAATCTCCATTCCCACCCCACTCCAGGGGAAGCTTATTGCAGAATCCCATTCCCTCCCCACCCCGCTAACCTGCTTTCCAGCTCCGTTCTCCTGTGCAGGGCAACCAAAGAAGACCCAGCCGATCAGCTGGGACTCGGGAGGCAGAGAATAGACGGGGGTGGGGCCAGTCAGAGGTGGGATTTGCCGGTTCTCCGAACTACTCAAAATTTCCGCTACCGGTTCTCCAGAACTGGTCAGAACCTGCAGAATACCACCTCTGCTTCAGATCCGAAATGTTGTACATTTCAAGATGTTGGATTTCCAACAAAGCTCCAACAGATGAGGGAAATCTTTGTTTTCTGCCTGTATTCTGACATATCTCCATTTAGGGTAGTTTTCCAACACTTCCGATTTGCTCCCAGTCGATTGGAGGTGAGACTAGATGTAAAATTCTCTTTATCATCAGCTCTTGGGGCACTGTTGGGGAACCCTGGTGTACATAAACAGGCTGCCTTGAGATATCATTGAACTGTGTCTTATTTTTAACCCTGATTTAATTTTTAGAAGGTTGAATTGAGTTTTGAGAGCGTCCAATAAAACGATGCAACAGAAATGGAAGATGAATAGAACTGGAGTATTAATCCCTACCACCAGGATGCCGACCTGCTATCAACTATCCTAATATTTCCCCAGACAGACTTTTCTCTTTTTTTGATCTCTAGGAAAAGGTACAGAAAGAAGCAACTACCCATTTGGAAGAGATGCAGGCATGCCAGCTATCAATCAGGTAAGCAGCGCTGCTCTTTTATTTTAGTTAATTAATTGGAAGTGTGTTTTAATCAAAAAGATTTGTTCAGCCAAGTCTTGATCTCTTAGGAACAAGGATCTCCAAACTCGGTAACTTTAAGATTTGTAGACTACAACTCCCAGAATTCCCCAGCCAGCATGGCTGCCTGGGGAATACTGGGAGTTGAAGTCCGCAAGTCTTGATGTTGCCAAGTTTGGGGATTCCTGTCGTAGAACACAGAGATGTATGTTTTCTTTCACACAGGCAGAATAAGGAAATTTAACTTTTCCTCTAGGGTGCATTACAGAACATATGAATTCGAAGGGATCTTACAGGTCATCTAGTCTAGGGGTTTCCAACCTTGGCAACTTTAAGCCTGGTGGACTTCAACTCCCAGAATTCCCCAGCCAGCAAAGCTGGCTGGGGAATTCTGGGAGTTGAAGTCCACCAGACTTAAAGTTGCCAAGGTTGGAGACCCCTGATCTAGTCCAAAACTCCTGCTCATTTCAGGAAACCGCTAAACCATTCTCCAGCAGTGGGAGGGGGACTATTGAACCCCCATTTGAAAAAGTCCACAAGGGAGAACCATCATCTAGCCTCCAAGGGGGAATCCACAATTCACTGCTGAAGCTCTCTGGCTTTCAAGTCTAGCTTCAAGTCTTAAGACTGCCCATCCACAGTGTTTATCTAAAAGAGATGTGCCAGACTAGACCAAGTCCTGCTAATCCAGCGTTCCTTTTTTCCAGTTCTGATCAGGATCTGGGTAGCTTCACAAGTAGAGTCTATCTAGCTAACTATCATTTGCCTCTATCATCTATCTAGCTATCCAGTTAGCTGTCTATTTGTCTGTCTATCTATCTAGCTATCTAGCTATCTAGCTATTTATTATCTATCTAGCTATCTACCATCTATCTGCATCTATCTATCTGCATCCAGTTTTGGTCACCACACTATAAAAAAGATGTTGAGACTCTAGAAAAAGTGCAGAGAAGAGCCTGGATGAACACAAAAATGCAGTCAAAAAGCTGGAACACACTTCCTCACTAGTCCAACACATGAAAGCCACAGGCCATAGCATCGACTTCAATGGCACCAAAACCCTAGCCACTATAGAAAACCCCAGCCACAGAATTATCAGAGAAGCCATAGAGATTGAAAAAAGACCTGAAAGCATGAATAGAAGAGATGATTCCACCAGACTGTCAATTATTTGGAAGCCTGCACTCACAAACAAAAAAATCTCCACACCACTAGCCAGGCAAACACCTGGGCACAAACAGATCCCCCCTGATACCTCCAGCTCAAACACCCCCCAACCAGGCACCCAGATGAAACCTAGCTTCCTAACAAATGATAGCCGTCCATTTACTCGGAGCCAAGCTGCACTAAAAGCCTCCAATACAGGAACACAATGTTGCCAGCCAATCAAGACACCAAAAAAGCCACAAAACAAACAGAAGATATTAGAAACACCAGTCAAGCAGAACACAGCAAACTCGAAGACCAATAAACACAGACCAAGACTCCCAACCAATCAGGATGAAGAAAAAACCATTCTGGCACAGCAGTAGGCTAGCCCTAAAACAGACAACTGTAAAAGTCTGACTCACAGACGAACACAATACAGAAGCCTGATGATGGCAGATGAGATTCTGCCGAAATGTTGCTACAACTTTAAAAGCACAACTATAATGACGTGGGAAAATACCCGAACAAAGCCGAATACCATACATACATACATACATACATGCATACATACATACATATGCATATGCGTATGTATGTGTATATATATATGTGTGTGTGTGTGTGTGTGTGTGTGTGTGTGTGTGTGTATATAGATTTCCTGCTGAATTTCAAAGCAGATGTGCGAGGACTGCGATGGGTGCCAAAATAGATGTAATTTTAAAAACAGAACAGGAGACTTGCCAGCCGGCCATGTGTTTAAATAGTATGGGTTTGGAGTTTGCTTGTGCTGTTGTTGTTGTTTTAATTTGCTTTCTGGTAGGAGGAGGAGAGAGGCATAATTGAAAGGGGGTGACGTCATGAATGGAAGAGTCAGTGGGAAGAGCAAGGCTCTTGCTGTGCAGACCGTAAATCAAGGGAAAGAAAGCATAGCCTGTAAGTTGCTTAGGCAAGTGGTCTGCCAAATCCAACATTATTGGTGAGACGCAGTCTAAACATTTCCAGCAACAACTCCTCCGTGGTAGAATGCCTTTGAACAAGGAGTTTTCGTTTCTCCCCTGCCCTCCCAATACAGGTAGTCCTCAATTTATGACCACAATCGAGCCCAAAATTTCTGTTGCTAAGTGAGACGTTGGTTGAGTGAATTTTATCCCCATTTTATGACTTTTCTTCACACAGTTGTTAAGTGAATGATTGCAGTTGATAAATTAGTGACACGGTTGTTAAGCGGATCTGGCTTCCCCCATTGACTTTGCTTGCCAGAAGGTCTCAAAAGGGGATCACATGATCCTGGACACAGCAAAGGTCATAAATACGAACCCATTTTGTCAAGCATCTGAACCTTGCTCATGTGACCATGGGATGTTGCCATGGTCGTAAGTGGGGAAAAACAGTCATAAGTCACATTTTTCAGTGCTGTTGTAACTTTGAACAGTCACTAAATGAATTAAAAATGGAAATCCTCCCTCTTGCTTGCTTGCTTGCTTGCTTGCTTACGTATTTACCGTATTTGGAAAACTTATACGAACCCCTATCTTAGACATGATAATCCTAGGTTGCTTACATCAGCAATTCATAAAAACAAAGGTGTAGACAAACCCACAAAACCGACACTCCACAGCATCTCATTAAATCTACATTGACTGGGCTCATTTCTATTCTAGCCCAATGCTTGAGCCAGGTCTTCACTGCATCTGGAAGGCTAAAATGATGGGAACCCTCCAAATATTTAATTCCTCCTCAAATTATCCATCCATCCATCCTTCCTTCCTTCCTTCCTTCCATCCATCCATCCATCCATCCATCCATCTCCAGGAAGTAAAATCTTCATCTTACAAACACTATTGTGACCACAATTTCCATTGCTAAGTAAGCTGTTTGTTAAGTGAGTTGCATCTGATTCTACAACCTTTTTTATCATGGTTGTTAAGTGAATCATGAGGCGTTAAGCAAACCCTGCTTTCCCCCATTGACTTTGTTGGAAACCATCGAAGCCCGCAAATGGTGATCACGTGATCCCAGCATGCTGCAAACATGATAAATGCATGCTAATGGCCAAATGTTGATCTTGTGACCCTTGGGGATGCTACAATGGCTATAAGTGTGACAGCCAGTTTTTTAGTGTCTTAATTTTGAACAATCCTTAAACAAATGGTTGTAAGTCGAGGACTATTTGTATGCTGTGTAGACATTAGTCCCTAAACTGAAGAGTACCATTTGCAGACATGATATTCTTCCGATTAAAATCGGAATTCTGATTTTTTGGGGAATCACCCCCCCTTTCCCCCCCTTCTTCTCCTCCTTCCCCTCCCCTCGGAGGCCCCGAGTCAGGAGTTGCTACCGCTGACGCGGCTCTGCGTGGCTCCAATTCCGCGTTGCCTCAGGAAGGGAAAGGCAAAAAGGAAGAGCCGCGGCGGCGCTTTGCAACGGCAGCAGCGGCTCCTGGTTTTGCCTTTCCCTTCCCGAGGCAACGCGGGATTGGAGCCGCGCGGAGCCGCGCTGGCGGTAGCAACTCCTGACAGCCCCAGCCGGATACCTGAGCGGAGCCCGGGTGGTGCGAGCGGAGCCCGGGCGGTGCGAGCGGAGCCCGCTGAGTGGCAGGAAAAGGGAGCTGGGCAGCGATTTCTTGGCGCGCGGTGGGGGGGTCTCTTTTGGCCGGCCCCGATTTTTTTTTCAGAGGGGAATATCATGCCTGCATTTGGTTAAAGATGAGGAACCTGTGGTCTACCAGAAGTTGCTAAACTACAATTACCAGCAAAACTACAACTACCAGCATCCCTTTCCTGTTGGACATGTTGGATAGGACTATGTGTCTTGGACTACAATCCCTGTGCTATTGCAGAGGTTGAAGTCCATCCTACCCGGAGGTTATCATTGAGGAAGGGTTGCTATGGATTTCTGCCAAGTTGGCAAAAGTGTGAAAGGGCTAGACTAGCCAAACCGGAATATAAACCTAGCACTATCACTCACAGGCATCCACACCTGGTGCTCATTGGAAAACCATGTTCGGCAAGAGATTTGGGATTTGTTCAGGTTGTGATGGTGCACTCTTGTTTTTCTTGTTTTCTGCAGCCTGGCTTTCTGCCTAGCGAAATAGGGATTTCGAGTCCCAGCACGCTCTCCCCAACGGGAGTGAAGGGAAGCTCGCAGTACTACCCATACGCCAACAACCCTCGCAGGAGAGTCGCAGACAGCAACATAGGTAGGTGGCCTTGGTGAGGGTGTTGGCTGGAGCAGTTGCCTTGGTGAGGGTTGTGCATAGCAAAAAATCTCGGTTGCAAAGGAGGAAGACCAAAGGACATTTCCTGTCAGGGTCTCACTGCAGCCCTTCCATTACAGAAAGTCCCTTTCCTATTGTTTTGGGAGTGTCTCAGATTCATCTAAACCAGGGGGTTGCCAACCTTTGGACCTCAGGGACCACCAAACTCATAATTTTAAATGCCACGGAACACTAATATGAATTTTGACTGACAGTGGCTTGTTGACGTTGGTGGGAAAGTCGGTCCCATATTCCAGAGCTGGCAGTAGTCACAGGACTGGCCCTTTGGTCATCCCGGAGCAGCTGCTCCTCCACCCGGGTGCACCGGCCTGCCATGGACTGGAGGAGCTGCTCCAGGATGACCAAAGGGCCAGTCCTGTGACTACTGCAGCTCTGGAATATGGGACTGACTTTCCCACCAACGTCAGCAAGCCACCCCGGGGCGGATTTCCCTCCCCTGCCGTTGGTCTTACCTTCCAGTTCCAGCTTGCGTGGCTCTACTCAAGGTTAGGTTTGCGCTCGGCCGAAAGGTGGGGGGCCCACGGGTGGGCGGGCCATGTGGGCAGCGCAGCCTTGTGTTTCCACACAGCCTGGATTAATTGCTTTAGGGGGAGTGTTTTGGGAGGGATATTTCTCTGCGGACCACCAAAAAATTTTCACGGACCACCAGTGGTCCCCCGGCCCGCAGGTTGGCGACCACTGATCTAAACCACTCTTGTTCAACCTTAGCAATTTTAAGATGTGTGGACTTCAATTCCCAGAATTCCTTGTGCAGCATGCTGGCAGGGGAATGCTGGGAATTGAACGGGACACATTTTAATTGCCAAGGTTGAAAAACACTTATCCAAATCACCCTTCTTGCTCAAACAGGGGACAACCAAGGGCTTCTAAGAAACTCAAGAATTGATTATGAAGGCAATAATCATCTCTGACTTATTTTTAAACCATATGCCAGAAATTGGAGGGAAGGTTTCAATGTCTTTCCCAGGCCCTAACTGAATACTACAAAGCAGGGGTCTCCAACCTTGTCAACCTTAAGACTTGTGGACTTCAACTCCCAGAGCAAGAGGAATTCTGGGAGTTGAAGTCCATAAGTCTTAAAGTTGACAAGGTTGGAGATTCCTGCTATAGAGAGGGCTAGATGTGCTTCTCACAACTTTTATTCAGGGCTAGATTAATTCCAGATAATCAGCCTCCTTTAAATCATCATTACCAGTAGCTTGAAATAGACCTAAGTATGAATTTGTTGTCTTCAATTAATTATTTTGCTGCCTTTGGATGACCCAAGAATCTAATATTTAGAGACAAAGAGAGAAAAATATCTTAACACTGTGGGATCAGCTGCCCTCAAATTAGTGCCGCTCTAGATGTGCTATGACAACAACTCTAAGAAACTGAAGGTTTTGGATTTTTTTTTTAAATGTACTTTTTTATTTAAGAAATTTTATATGGTGGCCCACCTCAGTCTCAGTGACTCTGGGTGTCTTACAAAGATAATTTGGGGGATTTTGATCCCAATGTATCTGGAGAGGCACCAGTTAAAGATAGAGGTTCTAATTCAGTGTTTCACAAGCTTGGCAACTCTTTAAGCTGTGAGAACTTCAACTCCCAGAATTCCCCAGCTGGCATGGCCAGCTGGGGAATTCTGGGAGTTGAAGTCATATGTCTGAAAGATGCCCAGGTTGAGAAGCATTGCTCTAACCACTTTGGCAATACTATATAGTAAAAACTGTGTCGGAAACCTTACAAAGTGTCCTTTCCTGTCCAAGGATTCTACCAATTATTGGTACTGGGTATTGATCTACCACTGATGCATAGTTTGTCAATAATGTAATATAATAACAGCAATTCATTTTACAGAGGGCCATGTACACTTGCTACAACAGAATGATTTTTGTTGTAAATCATCTTTTTGTGACACTTTCCCAAGTGTTTCCCAAACTGTGAGGTGTATCTCCTTTGAGGAGGTACAGATAGAATCAAGGAAGTGTGAAGAATCCCAGGGAAGCGTGAAGAACTTTTTAGTGTACAATTAGAGTAAAACCAGCTTTCCCATACTTTCAATGTATTATTTCCATTGTCGAATTGTATTTCTTTTGGTGTTTGGATTTTTTTAGGGAAGGTGTGTATATTAAGATTGCACTAAAGGGAGGTGTGATGGCAAAAGGTTTAGCAATCCATGCTGTAAAGTCTTCTGCGGAATCCATGAGTCCAAGAAACCTTTGCCCTAGTAACAATATTGTTGTCATTTTAACAAAGTTTACTACAATGAAAATAGAGAAAATATCATTATTACTATATCAAATCTCTCCCCTCAAGGAGCTGAAGCTTGCCTGAATTTTTGCATTCATTCATTCATTCATTCATTCATTCATTCATTCATTCATTCATTTCCTGCCCTTATTATTTTTACAAATAACTCAAGGTGGCAAACTACACCTTCCTGCTCCTCCTATTTTCCCCACAACAACCCTGAGAGGTGAGTTGGGCTGAGAGAGAATGATTGGCCCAGGTCACCTAGCTGGCTTTCATGGCTACAGTAAGAACTAGAATTCACGGTCTCCTGGTTTCTAGCCTGGTGTCTTAAACCAGGGGTCGGCAACCTTTTGGACCTCAGGGACCACCAAACTCATAATTTTAAATCCCGCAGTTCACTAATATGAATTTTGACTGGCGGTGGCTTGCTGACGGTGGGAAAGTCGGTCCCGTATTCCAGAGCTGCAGTAGTCACAGGACTGGCCCTTTGGTCATCCTAGAGCAGCTGCTCCTCCACCCGGGTGCACCGGCCTGCCATGGACTGGAGGAGCTGCTCCGGGATGACCAAAGGGCCAATCTTGTGACTACTGCAGCTCTGGAATATGGGACCGACTTTCCCACCAACCTCAGCAAGCCACCCCGGGGCGGATTTCCCTCCCCTGCCGTTGGTCTTACCTTCCAGTTCCAGCCGCGTGGCTCTACTCAAGATAAGGTTTGCGCTCGGCCGAAGAGTGGGGGCTATGTGGACAGTTTGTGTTCCCACACAGCTTGGATTAGTTGCTTTGGGGGGAGTGCTTTGGGAGGGATATTTCTCTGTGGACCACCAAAATTTTTTCGCAGACCACCAGTGGTCCCCAGCCCACTGGTTGGCGACCACTGTCTTAAACCAAACTGGCTCTCTCCTTCCACTTTCATTCATCTATAGACTATGCAAGGCAGATTCCTCTGACATTGAATGGATCTATTTATCGTAAAGGCAGACCATAGAACTTCAGTAAAGATGGGATTTGAATCCAGATCTCCTTATACCCCTCCAGTCACCTTGTCATGTGGGGGTGTGAAACAAACAGAGAAAGCCGGAAGATCAGTGAACTCTGGGTGGGACCCACTTCCTGCGTGAAGCATCTTCGGGTGCTCTGTGCTTTGGGGAGCTCAAGACAGCTGCCAGGTATCCTGCATCCCATTGCTTTGAAGTCAGTTCCCCAGAAAGCTGCAAGCATCATCAGCTAGAGAAGCTTCAAAAAATGAATCGGAATCTCATAAGGATGTTTTGAGATCGCTTCCAGCACATCCTTCCTTCCAAGCAATTTTGCCAGCCCAATCCAAACTGTATGTAAATATTCCCTTTATCCTCCCCCACCTGCTCGATGGGCACCTTGTCCAATTCAGAGGAGCAGAGGGAGGATGCTGGGAGATCTTCCTTTAAAAAGCCAACTTCCCAGATCTTTCCAAGCGAACCTTCCCCCCAACACACACACACACATACTCTTTATGAGGTGGAATGGAGGTAGTTGCTAGGTTTTGCCTTGAGGAGAACCTGAACATCTGGCATTCATTGGTGGAAAAGAATCTCAGGAATGGAGCCCTTTTAGTGAAAGTAGCCGTGCGTTTTTTCTCTGCCACTCGGCGGCCAGGACCAAAGGGGGGGGGGGGGAGAAACCAGCCATTTGCAATCATTATTAATGTATATAATGCTGTCTGAGTAGGTTGTGTTTTGCAAAGAGCAGGTGTGCAAGTCCTGGCCCCCTTTCCCTGGCCTTACAATTTAAAACAGACCCAGGGAAGAGAGATAGAAAAAGGAGGAACCAGAAGTAGGCGGCAGCAGAGTGCAAGGCCATACTAGGAGAAGGATGGACTGGTGGGGTAAAACACTCCATGCCTTCTTAATCACCATAAACAATAACAATTAATAATTAGACATGTGCAGGAACCTGACCCACAGAGGGAGCGATGTTTTCAGATCTGGCATGAGCATGATAAACAAGGGCAGCCATTTTAGCCACCTTTGCTGCTTTAGATTTGAACATCGCATATTTTTAAAAAATAATACATCTAGTCCAAATTTCGCTTCAGCCTCGGCCTTTCAGGAGGTTGCTCGTCAGCCTTTGAAATCTTACACTTGCCTCCTTTTGGGAGTATGCAGGTAGTCCTCAATTTATGACCACAGTTGAGCCCAAAATTTCTATCACTAAGCAAGACAGTTGTTAAGTGAGTTTTGCCCCATTTTACAGCCTCTCTTGCCACAGTTGTTAAGGAAACCACTGCAGTGGTTAAGTTAGCCATTAACTCACTACTACTGCAGGTGGTCCTTGACTTCCAACCACAGTGGAGCTCGGAATTTTAGTTGTAAATTGTTGCAGCTGTAAGTTGAGGCACCACACGACCAGACTCGATTTTACGTCTGTTTTACAACAATCATAAAGCAAGTCAGTGTGGTCATGAAGTAAATCATGTGGTTGAATCAAATTACAGCATTTTTGGGTGGAAACCAGCAAGAAAGGCGCACATTGTGGTTGTGTGACTGCAGGACCTTGCAACCAGTTGTAAATGTGGGCTAGTTGCCAAGGGTCCAAAATAGGCACAAACGACACACCACATGACCAGACTCATTAAGTAAATCATGGGGTTGAACAGTTGCAACAAGTCACAACCATGACAATGGGTTGTAAATAGCTTTTGTTCAGTCCATTATAATTTTGACCAGTTGTTAAACATCTAGAGTCAATGTCTATCTGTCTATTTTTCTCTTTTCCCCCCTTTCTGCAAAATAGCTCATTACTTCCAAGAAAAACCCCAAAACCATGTTTTAATCCTAAAAAGAGTTCATAATGCTCACCTTTGTCCTTCTTTTTTGAGTTCGTGGGAGGGGAGAGTAGCTTCACAAAAGTTAGTTAAGCCCTAGCAGTTTTTCCTGAACCAATTCTTCTTTCCCCTTCTTTTATGAAGATCCTGCCAAAAAAAAAAAAAGATGCTTCCTTCCTTCAGTGATTCAATTCGTTCCCCTCATTTGCATGTCAAAAATGTTCTCCAGAAGAAAGCACCCTCCACGATCATTCAGAAGTTCTGTCCAGCTCAGTACTCTCTGGGTACCTTGAATTACAAAAGCTATCATCCTTAGAGAGTTACAAAGGTGTATTCCAGCAGATTTGGGGGTGTGCTGGGTAGAGGAAGATGGGGCCTGAAGAATGTATCATGAGTGCGAAGGCAGTTCATATTTGATGAATATTTAAGGGGCCATCTGTCTCTTGCAGAGTTGGCATGCTTTGAGTCCCATTGATTGAACAGAGCTACAGTGGGCCCCACCTTCTCTGTCATAGCATCTGCTCTCCAACACAGGATCCCCAGTGGTTCAGATGACCCCCAATCTGACCTTATTTAAGCAAGTTTTGAAGATCTGGCTCTTCCCCCAATCCATGGGTTAGGGAGTACATCAATCCCTCCCTAACCCTTGGGACTATGCGGAGATAAAGGTTACAGTTTTATGCTGTACCCGGATGTCTTTTGATTCTTTTTTCCTGGCTATAATGTGCTGTTCTTAATATTGTACATGTCTCAAGAGTCATTATGGTGTCGGGTGGCTTTGGAAAATTTAACAAATGTCACTGGAAGTGCAAGCTTCACTAATAATGGGATATAATTAACAAGAACGAAAGGAAGACAAAACGGTGTGAAACTGTGAATGCCAAAAATACACGCTGCCTTTATCTCAAAACATTGCTTAACAGTCATAAGCAGAGCCCAATTATTCTGTCCTTAATAAAGGACAGCTAAAGCAGGATATGAAGCAGTAGATTCAATCACACCCTTGTTATTTTGTTTTTTCCCTCCAAGATTTAAAAATGGGCCTTGCCGGTCTGTGGAGATTCTGCATCATCCAGTTCATGGTTGCTCCAAAGGTGCTTTTTCAAGAGGCAACTGGACTTTCTTTGTTTTTTTCCTGGAAGACGTTTCGCTTCTCATCCAAGAAGCTTCTTCAGTTCTGAGAGGAAGCTTCTTGGATGAGAAGTGAAACTTCTTCCAGGAAAAACAAAGAAAGTCCTGTTGCTTCTTGAAAAAGCACCTTTGGGACACGGGCCTTACTTAGCTGCCGCTTGCTGATGAATTCTAACAGATACTCCATTTCTCCTTGATAAGTTTGTCTTGTCCCTTTTTAGAGCCATCACTATCTGTGGCGCAACATTACTGGTACACCTTGGCTTACAACTGTAATTGAGTCCACAATTTTGGTTGCAAGTCGCTACGGTCATAAAGTGGGCCATCGTGTGACCCATGTGACTTTACGACCTTTTATGTGGTGGTTGTTAAGCAAATGCAATGGTCATAAAGTGAATGCCACAGTCATTCAATGAACCCATTGTCCAACATGGGGTGTTTTGAGCCAGAAACCAGACGTGAACACTTGGTTACCAGCCCAAATGACATAAATTGTAGTCACGTGAGCGTGGGGTGCTGCAAATTGTCGTAAATACCGGCCAATTGCTTGAGCACCCAGAATGAAATTACATGACATCATGGTGGGGCATTCCTTGGACCTTTGAATCTGGGTTGTAAATCCCATGTTCAGGGTCTGTCAAAAATGCAAACGGTCGCTAAGCGACTGGGATGAAGTTCTTTCTTTTCTTTGTTCCCAATTTTCTTGGATTTCATGGGCCGGGAGCGGCGGGATGGACAGGGGACTCCACCTTCTACTTCCTTTTTGACTGCGACGTCCATCAGTGCAGACCAGGCTCCAACCAGGCATAGGGGTTAACCTTTTGTATTGAAGTCAAGTAGAGAAGATGTCTAATCCTTTTGCTGAGTGACCTAGAATGAGCTGCTACTATTTCTCGTTTTAACTTATTGTAGGAGATTGTTGCAAGGAGGCTTTGTGTATTTTTTTTTGGGGGGGTGGGGGGGAATATATTTGCTGTCCTCAGCTTTATGGAAGAAGGTGAAAAATAAACACGAAACCGAAATTTATGTTGATGCAAGGCCATTTCATTACGCTGTTTTAGCTGAGTTTTGTTTTAAAGCTGGTGGGTTTTTACCTGCAGTCATTTCAAATACCTTCAGTTGCATCTTTTGAGGTGGATTTTTTTTAAAAAAAAAATCTTGTCTCCAAACATCCATTTAGAAGAGCAGAGTACTCTACAAATATTTAAATTTAAGTTGTTGTTATTGTTAAGCTCTGGGAAAATCAAGGTAACCCATCTGTAAAATGAAAATTTTGAAATCTGGATCCAAATCTTCCTATTCTATAATGCTTCTCCAAAGCTTTGACTCTAACTGGCTTCGTTTTTATTTATTTCTTTGTCTCCTTCTACTTCACATTCAGATGGACAACCGAAGAAAGTCCGAAAGGTGCCTCCAGGACTCCCGTCTTCAGTAAGTTATGATTTTCTCTACCCATCTATCAAAGTTGATCAAGAATCCAGTCGTTAGTGCAGGGGTCCCCAAATTTGGCAACTTTAAGACTTGTGGACTTCAACTCCAGAATTCCTCAGCCAGCATAGTCTTAAAGTTGCCATGTTTGGAGACCTCTGCGTTAGTGCATTGAAGGCAGTTCCTGATCTTTCCTTCTTTCTGATTGGTGGAACTGCTGTGATGTCAGAGAGCCGCTGGTTGAGAGAGACAGAGAGAGAAGGCCACTGGCAGAGTGCCAAAATGGCTTCTAACTAGAATAAAGCAGAGCCCAGGGCAGTTTAATTGTGAGAGGCTGCTTGATTTCAGACAAGCCCATGAACAATTTTAGGTCAATGGGAGGAAGCTTGTGGTATTGGCGAGGAAGGGACCACAATTGGGTGTGGACAGGTCGGAAAAAAGGGGTAGGAGTCAGGGTGAGAAGGGGAATAAATAAACTCAGCAATAATGAGATAGAGAGTGGAAGTAGAGGGCAGTAGACAGAATCAGAGAAGTGGAGGGCATCTTAAAGATCATCTAGCTCAACCCTTTATCAGGCTAGAAAGTCTACTAATACTACAAAATACTGATTAGGTGTCCATTTGATCCCTGTTTAAACAAACAGGGAGCATTTATACCAAGTGTTAGAAAGAAGTGAAGGCCAAGATCCAGAATACAAATTACTGGCTGGCTGGGGAATTCTGGGAGTTGAAGTCCACATATTTTAAAAGTTGTCAAGGAGACACTGCTGTAAAAGATATTATAATAATTTCAACTGTATTTTTGATCTAACCGGGTCAGATTTTGGGGGGTACTTATATATGTGTAACCATACTTTGCATCATTCTGGCAGTCCATATATGTATGATATTTTGCGCATGGTACCTTTGTTTCAATTACAAATTAGTGGTGACAAAGCTGAGTGGTAGAACACCTCAACTTTTCTGATGATGGGGGCACATAGCAATATATTCAAAAGACTGTTAGAGAAAGGAGCTTTGGAAAACCCCTTTTAATACCGCCTGTGAATTTATGTGCCGATGCTTGTAAAAAAAAAGCTGGAATAAGAGAAGTTGTGTTCCATTAAGATATGAACCACTGCTTTCTCACTCCTAAGCAAATCAAAGGCTTGTCATTTTTTATTGTTGCACTGTTGTGTTACACATCCTTTTGACGCAAGTTCTTTTGGTTATTTACTTTTAAGAAGGAACATGGGATTATTCTTTATTTTATTAAAGTGAACTAACAATTTCCAACCTGTCTGTTTTGGTATCTCCAACAGATAGTCCTTCGTTCACTCCCACATTTGAGCCCAGCATTTCTGTTGCTAAGCCAGACAGCTCTTGTGAATTTTGCCCCCATTTTGCGACCTTTCTTGCCACAGCTGTTAAGTGAATCACTGCAGTTGTGAAGTTAATAGCACGTTTCTTAAGTGAATGTGGCTTCCTCTTCCAGTTTGCTTCTCAGGAGAAGGTCACAAAAGGTGTTCCTATCACTCCAGGACACTGCAACAGTCATAAATATGAACCAGTTGCCAAGCATCTGAAGCAATGGATAGAAACTTATCAAAGAGAAAAGCAACCTAGAATTAAGGAGGTATTTCCTGAGAGTGAAAACAATTAACCAGTGGAACAACTTGCTTCAGAAGTTGTGGGTGCTCCATCACTGGAGGTTTTCAAGAAGAGTCTGGGCAACCATTTGTCTGGAATGGTATAGGGCAGAGGCCTCCAAACTTGGCAACTTTAAGACTTGTGGACTTCAACTCCCAGAATTCCTCAGGAATTCTGGAAATTGAAGTCCACAAGTCTTAAAGTTGCCAAGTTTGGGGACCCCTGGTATTTGATTTGTCAATCGCTTACAAGATGCAGGTATAAGAATAAATATAGTTTTGAATACATGAGATAGATACTTATAAGAAAAATAAAAGAAACAATAGGACAGGGACGGTAGGCACGATGGATGCGCTTATGCACACCCCCTACAGGCCTCTTATGAAGGGGGTGAGGTCAATAGTAGACAGTCTAAGGTTAAAGTTTTTGGGGTTTGGGGAAGAAACCACAGAGTCAGGTAGAGTATTCCAGATATTGACCGCTCTGTTGCTGAAGTCGTATTTCCTGCAGTCAAGTTTGGTGCAGTTAACCTTGAGTTTGTATCTATTGTGTGCTCTTGTATTGTTATGATTGAAGCTGAAGTATTCATTGACAGGTAGGACATTGCAATGTATGATTTTACATACTATACTTAGATTGGACCGGAGGCGACGTAGTTCTAGGTTTTCTAGGTCTAGAGTTTCAAGTCTGGTGGCATAAGGTATTCTGCAATGAGTAGAGGAGTGGAGAACTCTTCCTGTGAAATATTTGTGGACTTTTTCAATTGTGTGAATATCAAATACATGATATCGGTAGGGGGTTGGACTAGAACATCTCCAAAGTCCCTTCCAACTCTGTTATTCTATTTTCTCTGTTCTTTTCCGCCTGTCTTCCAACACTATTCTATGGCTCCAAATATCCTGCCTTTTGCTGCAAGCTCTTATTCCCTCCCTAGACGTGAACTATTGCTCTTACTTGCTCCGTTTTCACATTTCCCCAGTGAGGGTTGTGCATTTACACCAATGACAGATGCAGCCAAATAGGAGAGATGCAAAAGTTTAGCAATAGCATTTAGGCTTACATACCGCTTCACAGTGCTTTACAGCCCTCTCTAAGCGGTTTACAGAGTCAGCCTATTGCCCCCAAACAATCTGGGTCCTCATTTTACCATCTTTGGAAGAATGGAAGGCTGAGTCAACCTTTAGCCTTGTGAGATTCGAACTGCCAAATTGCAGTCAGCTGGCAGTCAGCAGAAGCAGCCTGCAGTACTGCACTCTAACCACTGCGCCACCAAGGCTCTTGTTTAGTTTAGGTGCAAAATGGTGTTTTAAAATTATTATCATTATTGGATGGGGATGAAGTTGGCAAAGTGGGACAATTGCTCTTCAAATGAGAATTTTAAAGGGAGGAAGGAATCTTGTCTATAGAACCTGGAGGTTGTTTCTCCTCCTCCTCCTCCTCCTCCTCCTCCTCCTCCTCCTCCTCCCTGACAGCAGCATAAAACCTGAGTTGGAGAAGATGGGGAGGGTCTGTGGGGTGGGATGAGGGGAAGTAGTAGGGGTGGGGTTGAATAACACACACACAGGGGAGATAAACTTTGATTTAGCGTTTCCTGTTTGGTAAGAGTCTGTCCTTGCCCCTTTTCCGAAGTGGATCTGGCTAGAGAAACATTTGCATTCTGCACCAGCCTTTACATCTGGGGTTCATTCTGGGGGGCCCATTTCTTGGCTTCCCTCCAGAGGGAAGAAGATGATCACGGCCTGAATTCGCCTGGAGTTCCCTCTTTTCCGCAGTCAGTCTTTCTCATCACAGTTTTGTAGCTGTGCAAATTCCATGTTTTATTTGCCGTACCCATCTCTTCTTCTCATCTCAGGCTGGCCCAGTGGAGGTCTCATTCATAGATAGGAATGTGTATTGGGGAAATACAACATCTTCCACACTGGTTCCAGTCCTCCTCCTCCTCCTCCTCTTCCTCTTCTCTTCCCCCTTCTTCCTTCTTTCCTTCTGCTCTTCCCATCTTCTCCCCCTCTCCTTCTCTTCCTCCTTCTCTTCTTCCTTCTTCCCTCCTCTTCTTCCTCTTCCTCCTGTTCCCTTCCGCTTCTTCCTCTTCCTTTCCTCTCCTCTACTATTCCTTCTCCTCCTCTTTTACCCTTTCAAGTGTTGAGGGAGATAGAAAGTTCTCGTTTTTGCTCTTCTGACGGCCTCAACCATTGTTAATTAATGAAGTTTGTAGTCTTTCTCTGCAGCTCCGCAAATCAGATATTTTTCAGCCCTTGAAAATCCTACCAGGAATTAGAAAAAATTATATGATAGAGAGAGCCCACAGACGAGAATCAAGATTTCTTACTTCTTCCTGTCGCATTTGATAACTTTACCTGATAACACATATGTGGTCTGCTTTTTTTCCTCTTTTTCATATCCAACTTAAAAAAAAACAAAAAACCCCAATAACCATACGCTTAAGTGTGGCACACTGGCCAAGTATCATTTTGATGCATGTGTTTGTTCTCTTTCTTTCTCTTTCCATTTTCCTTCTCTCTTTTTTAATTGTTATTTAAAATCATTCCCCCTTCTGCTCCTCCCTTGCTTTGCAAATAAAGCCTTGATGGAAATATGGTGGCGGCAGGAAACTACTCTGTTTGGGTGGATTGGTGCTAGAGACGGGAGCATAGCCGCCTCCATAAAGGAAAGGCTTGAATGTTTATGAGGGAAGATAGCGGTGGTGGGGAGAATGTTTAATTTAACCTGCAAACTTTACGAATCTCAGACTAACCCTGAGTTTCAGCCCCTCTCCCTTCCCCCTCAGAAGACGGTTGTTAAAGGGAAGTAAGGAATTTTCCACCCATCCTCCCTGTCTTCCCATATAAGAAGTTGGAAATTGCCTTGAATTTTAAGCTGCATTTCCCCCTTCCCTGCTCCCCCCACCTTCTTTTTCTTTCTTTCTCTCTTTCTTTCTTTTTTTTTTCCTTTTTGTCTCTTTCCTCCCCTCCTCCCAACCCAGCACCACACAGCTGCCTGGAGAACTGGCCAGGTGCCAGGCACTGGCAGATGGCGCACGGCTATTATTCCTCCTCCTTCGCTCGAGTCCCAGTCCCAGCTCCTGCTATTTAATCAAATTATAGGAAAAGGCAATTTACTGGATTTCTTATTCTTTGCAGAGAGTTTCATTCCCCCGCACTGCCTCCCTCAGTCTCTTCAGTGCTCTCCTTCTCTTCCCCCCCCCTCCCCGCTTTGTTTCCTTCCCCCACCTCTTTGCTTTAGTAGTATATGTCTCTTTCTCTCTCTTTTCCACCCCCCTGAACACACACATACACACAGAAGGTAAAGATTTGCAATTGTCTGGGAAGTTGGTTTCTTGGATTCGATCCTTCCACCTTGACACACAGTAGGTTGGGC